GTCTCAGCCCCGTCTCCGTGCCCCGCCCGCCATGAGGGGCTGAGGGCGTTCCCGCCGCGCTGGGGGCGGTGCCTGAGGCGCGGGCGGCTCCGGGGGCGGAGCCTCCATTTGAACTYAAACCGCCCATCGCCGCTCCCCATTGGCTGCGCTGCGCGTCRCGCGCCGCCCCCTCCTCCAATCAGACGCCGCCGCGCTCCTTTTTGAACCTTCAACGGCCAGCTCGGTGCGCTCTTTTCTCCTTCCGCCGACCTGGCACGGGGTAAAGCTAAAAGAGTCCCTCTATCCGGTGCCGTTTGTCGCGGCCGGGCGGGCTCGGTGCTGTCCATCAGCCATGGCTGCTGCCGGTAGGCGCGGGTGGCGGCGGCGGCTCCCGGTCCGTCTGTCTGCGCGGCTGCCGGGGGCTGTGTTTTGATGTTTGGCGGAGGGATACATCCGGGTAGGCTGGGGGGCCGGTGCGAGGTCTGGGGGGCCGAGGCGCGCGCGCGGGAAGGGCTCAGTCGGCGCCGCGCAGTGACGGGAGCGCGGAGTGGGGGGGGCKCCGCCACACGGGGCCGTCAGCGCTCCGAAAGACCCAGGTACGGGTGAACGAGCGAGCGGGTGAGGGGGGTAGAACCGGGGGGACGCGGCTTTGGGGCGGGGGTAGCCGCGGGGAGGAGTTGTGCCGCCTGACACCCACCTCATGGTGGCTATTGCCTCTGTCATGGTGGCTGTTGCCCCTCTCTCCCSCGGTGTTTACCTTTCTTGTCACAGCCCCGAGCCCGGGTTCAAACTTGGGCATCTGCAGCACATGTGGCTTTTTTGCCTTGTAAGGGCTGGTGGCTGCCGTGTACAGGGTGCTCTCGGTGTAGGACACCGAATATTTTCGCTTCCTAAAAGCTAAAGGGACTGCCGGGTTCGCCCCAAAGTTGTGTCTTGTTGTKAACAAGTGTTTTATCGACCAAAACACTCAACGAGGGTCCTTCTTAACTGCATTTAAATCCGTTGTTTTACCTTTGCTGCTTTCAAATATAGAGTGTTTTTAAAGGTGCTTCCTTGAAGATCGCTTGCGCCAATCCTGTTTATACATGAAATAGCGCATGATATGAAAATCTATAAAAAGCGTGTCTGGTTTTGCAAACGCTGCGGSTTTGGTTTAAGCAGTTTTGTGTCAGTTTAGCGCTGTTTATCCTGGTTTGTGCAGCAGAAATGCCCTTTCCTCCCTCCCGGCTCTATCGCATCCCATCGCGACAGAGTTCAGCATTGCCCAATTTCCAGTCTGTTCCTTCCTGTGCTCCTGGGAGCTGATGCCACTAATCCCTCCTTTTCCAGGAGGATACAATTGCAGTCAGTTGGTCTCAATTTTAAATTCAAATCTGGGTATTTCCGTGTGAGAAAGAGATTGAAAGATTTAGGTTTAGGTGAGGAGTGAGGTTTTAAGTTGTTTGTGGGACACAATACAGTCTGAACCTCTCCAAGGTTCTGATGGGTAGCAAAAACCTCCTGAATATGTAAAATTAGTTTGACTATTTATATAAACATATTTATATWAACTGTTTTTTACTCAGGGAAACACATGTAAACAACACTGAGATTCTTCTGTCTATTGGGAAATGTCTCCTCTCTGGAGCAAAATAAACCATAAACATTTACCTCAATTTATTTTTAAAAACATGTAAAACATTTTTGGGATGAGTAATCTGGATGTTTTTTATAGGTAAGGTTCCTTCCATTTGAAGATGCCTCGCTATGGGAAAATCGTTGTCATTAAAAGGAATGGGACTGATGGAATTGTTTTTCCACTCACCTCAACTTCTTGTTTATTTGGAAGGTGAGAATTTGTTGAGTGCTTGCATACCTTGAAACAATGAGCAATGTTTTCCTGCAGATTGTCTTTTAGTTTACAAAAATAAATGTTTATTTATGAATGGTGTACAGAGGAGAGAAAGTGATGCTTGGTTAATGTTAATTGTAAGAGTAGAAACCTGAACTTTGTTTTCTTACTCCTTTTAGTCTTTCCTTGCCATAATTAATTTGATTGATTGATTGATTTATTGATTTTAAGTTTCCTGAAGTTTCAGGAAATCTGGGGAAGGGATTATTAGTGATAAGACCAACAGCAAATTAAGGTGTCAGAGATTATTTTAAGAAAAGAAAGGAAAAGTCTTTGCATTTAGAAACATCTTTTCACTCGCTAGTAACTTTTAAGAAGGTAGAAGTGGTTCTGCAGGTGAGACCAAGGGTCTAGTTACCTGTTCTTTATCTCAGGTGAGAAATGTAAGCCTGAGAATGAGTTTAAGAGCACATTTTGTCTGAAAATAACTCCACAAGGCTTGGGAAATTTGGGAAGYAAGGAATCCCATACACCACCTGTCTGTTGTATCCATGTCTCAGCTTGTTGTGACCTGCTCTTTTCACAATTTGGGTATTTCACAACTTCYTCTGATTCTTTGATGCTGTAGAAGTGTGAGCTGCTTTTTTTTGCCCTTTTAAAAAGATTTAATTAATTTTCTTTAAATCTGAGAAATCATGATGCTGTTCAACTGCTAAAATGTTGGGAAACCCCCTAATTTTAGCAAATTTCCCTGTGTTTTGTGTGAAACTAAACTTGTGTTTCCCRCCAGGAAAACAGAATGTGACATCCGCATGCGCCTGCCATGGGTGTCCAACGAGCACTGCAAAATTGAGATCAATGAGAACAAGGAGGTGAGATGCTCRTGTTTTARTGAAACATGYATTGTTTGCTGCATCTGAGCAGTGWCTGAACTGTTTGTTTGATTTTTAGGCAGTCCTGACTAATTTAAGCACRGTGAACCCCACGCAGCTGAATGGAGCTTGCTTTGAGCAGCCTGTTCCCCTGAAGCATGGAGATGTGTTAACCATTATTGATCGTTCTTTCAGGTGGGTGCCAYGGCCAAACTCCTGAATTATTTGATTCTAGAGCATAAATTGATGAAGTTTARTTCATATTTCTCTACAAAGTCTTGCAGGCCTCCATCAGAAGGCAGGATGGCTTAAAGATATCTTTTTATCTTGCATTGTGTTAAGCTAAATCAGCAAAGATCAAACTGTCTAGAAACTATTCTAATTTTATTTCAAGGGTTGGTTGCCTTTATTCCAAGGGAATTCAAGTTTTAGGGGGAAATTTAAAGTGCTTTTAAGTTGCTAAAGCCTTTAGAATTGAGATGTGTTCATTGTTGGGAGGGGACAAYTATTCCTAGGTAATTTCTCTTGGGATAATGGGAATTTTGTCATAACTATTAACCAAAAAATGGTCATATTTTAAAATATTTCTTTCAGGTTTGAATATCCTCTACAATCAACTCCGAAAAAGAGGCGTTCCAGGTCTCCAAAAGATGAAACTCTGCAGGTAATTTGGTGGCCATGGGCTTTTTTATTACAAGTCCATTGGTAATAGTATTTTATTTCCTTGTGTTATTAGAAATCACTTTTCAGCCCTAAAGTACCTTTCTGTCTGAAAATACAAATTAACTCCATCAGATAAATTTTAAAAAATTTAGGGTTTTTTTTGTCTAAATTTTAGTCAGAAATTTGTCAGTTTTTTGGTAATAGATAATTAATGATTCATGTTACTGATACAAGCAGAACCAATAATGTTCCACTGGGTCTGGTAAGAAGGGGAGGTTCAAATGTTTTTATTCTTCTACAGCTACTTTGACAGCTCATAATTTAAATCATAAAATAAGATAAACTTGTGGTTCTGTAGGSCCTCAAATGTATTGGTCAATGTTAAATATTGAAAAGTTTAAGGGTTCAGTTTGAATACTTTAAAGCCTGTTTAGGGACAATGCATATTCTTTCATCAATAGGGTTTTTTCAATGTACAGTTGAAAGCTAAACTGTAAAGTATTTGTTGCTCTGCTGTAATGCTGTACAAATTTACAGGTTCTTCATGTTCAGCAGGTGGCAGAAGTGGAATTATTACACAAACAAACTTCAGGAGCTAAAAGTCTTGATGCTTCAGGTTGGTACCTGTTTTCTGAGGGTTGTGTTTGCTTTTGTCCCCTTAACTGCATTTATTCTTAGAAGAATTAAAACAAGGTTTAAAGAGTGGGGGGAAAGAATTTAAGTTTTCGATCTGAGTACACCTTGCTGTGTCAGTGATTATTCCATCATGCTTAGATGATGTGAATTCATCCCTGGCATTAAATTTTAACTTGAACTTTTCTGCTGACCTGCAGCTCCACCTTTTTGAAGCAAATATTGCATCATCTTATGCATCSTTTCCTAATAAATTGAAACAAGTATCATTTTGGAGGTACATGGTATATAGTGAAATAATTGTTTATAGGAAATATTCTATGTAAGACCAGAAAAATCCATAGCTGCTAAGTCTGGATTATTATAACCCATAGGCTGCTTAAATGACAGGACTTCCCCTTCCCATCCTTATTGTCTTAAATAATCCTGATTTTCAAAGAAGGCTCTTCATTATAATTTCTAACAGATTTTTGTTCAATGCAAAAAGCCCCAGTTGTTTCCAAGTGTCCCATTTCAGTGAGCCCTGATATTGGGAGAGAAAGGAATTTTTAATCTGTATTTATGGAACTTATATTTGTAGCTCTGCAATTCTAAAGTAACTCAGTGTCTGTATTTTTGTTTTGTTTTGCTTTGTAGATAATGCTGAGTGTGAAGAAAAAAATGCCAATGCAAATAAACAAACTCCAGAGGAAAATCGCTCTAAAGCTTTCCCTGTCAAACTCCAGACACCCAAATCTTCACAGAGAATACATCGTGTTCTTAAAAAGCAAAATGAAATGTCTCCCTTTAGCAAACTCTATCAAAATCTGAAAAATGAGCTGAAAGTGGAAAAACCTCTGCACGGGGGAACTGMCTCTCAGCAAGCTGCAAAAGGAGAGCCTGGGAATGCTGTGCCAGAACCAAGTGCTCCCATTTCATCCCTGAGTTGTCTTTTTGATCTGGGCAGCCTGACYAAAGGAAAGGAAGCAGTCAGAAGGGAAAATATGGAAGAATGTATAATTGTAAGAAGAGAAGTACAGGGCCCAGGATTTAACCCGCTGGCAGCTGCAGAAAAAACTCCCAGGAAGAGTTTTAGCAGGAGTCCTCGAAATTCCGTTTCAAAGGAGGTGTCAGGAGACACCACACAGAGTCCCTTGCAGGATCCTAAGGGCCCGAGGACACCAGGCAGATCCAAARGCACTGCAGCTACCCCCAAACCCAGCAAGGAGAATCACAGGAATTCCCTGTTTTCACTGGAGCAGTGCTCCATAGAAAGGTTGGGTTACTCAGACAGAGGGACAATCTGCAGTCCTACAACCCCCACACGCAGTGTTCCTGAAGCAGGGAAATGTGTGCAGTCCACACCAACRCCCAGGAGGAAGAGTCCTCGGTCTCTTTTTGTGTCACCTCCCAAAGAAACCACAGCAATGAATCCTGAAAATGCTGGTACTGCAAGGACCCCACGGCGTGGGTCATTGAAACCTGAGTCTCTTCCAGAAATTGCAGCTGGAACTCCAAGGCAAGATTCAGTGAGCACAACTGACAGCACACAACTGCCTCTGTCAGAAAACAAATGTTTAAAGCAAAGACGAAAGAGCAAACAACAAACACCAGGAAAACCTGTCCAAGAAGTGCTGAAAGAAATCTGGGATCAGGCAAACCTGGATAACTCAAAGGGGGGACCCTGTGAAACTCCTTCCTCTAACTCCAAGAGGCCCAGAAGAAACAGCAGGCAAAGTAAAGAATTCTCAGACAAAAGTGTCCATTCAGAGGCACTGGCTTCAGAAGGTATAATGGCATCTCCTGCTGCTCAGAAACCTGGCTCTGGAAGGAAAAGGGGAAGGCCAAGGTCCTCTGGWGTGGTGATTGAAACAGCACTGGAGACAAATGCAGTTCAGGAACATCAGAATTCAGGTAGAAAAGACAGTGGAACTCCAGCAGAGCTGGCTGTGGAGGAGGATCACCAAAACCAGCAATTGGAAGATGCTGGCGCTACAACACCTCGGAAACCACCAGCCAAGAGAAGATCTGCAGGAAATGCTGCTGAGCTGAAGGACCCTGAGCCTGGCTCAGAAACTGCAACTTCTGGCCTCCTGGGTGGAGAAGACTCAGGTAATTACATGGGATCCCCTGCCTTGTTCTTTATGTTAGAGAAATTTTGTGCCACTTTTCTGAGAATTCTTCCACTTTGATAAAATACAGAACCAATTTGCTGACACTAATTCTAAAATATTTATCATGACGTTATATTAGATCTTATCTAACAATCAATACACAATATGTGTAAAAGTTTCCTTGATTGAATCGCTATGATCAGTTGTCTTTGGGTTTGTTTGTAACTTTGAAATGCACAAGGRAAGGTTAAAATGCTGCCTTGGATTCTTAAGTATCTAAAATATTTTCAATTGTTCTTTTCAGGCAAGACAAAAGCGATCTCTCAGAAGAGGAAAAGTGATGAAATGCTCCCTCAAACTTTGGGAAAAAGAAAGAGAGTGTCTTTTGGTGGTCATCTGAGCCCWGAACTCTTCGATAAGACTTTGCCTCCCAACTCTCCCCTGAAAAGAGGAGCTCTCCCTGCCAGACGGAGTTTGCCCTATGGAAACTCTCCTCGGGCTGTGCTCAAAAAGGCTCAGGGACTGAAGCATCTGATAGACCAGGTAAATGTTGAGAGTAATAGAGTTGCTGAGTCCATACTGTGAACAGAATTTATAAATTCTGTATCTATTATTTATTAATGCAAAATTAGTAGTAAATCTTGTGTGATGCATGTTGGTGTCACTCATGAGTGTTTTGGGACACTTGAGAATCACCAGCAAAGGCATCAGCAAAAGCAAGTTTAAAGTGAAAAGTACGACAAAATTCATTGGCAAGSTCACTCTGCTACTTATTGGATGAGTAAAAGAAGGAGAAATTCAGACTAAAATCAATCAATCTGAAACTAAAATCGACATAAAATTTTTTAATTGGTGGCTGGGGATGGATAAAGGGTAAGGATGGGAAAATGTAAGGATGAAAAAGAGTAAGGTAGACCTTCCTGCCAAATTTAGCCCCAGACTTGGTCAATGGTTTAGGAATAATTTCCTGTATCATTCCTGAAAAAAGTAAAATAATCCAAATCTGAGGCAGGGTTTCCCTGGACAGATCACCTCATTAAAAATCTGCAAATATTCTCCATTCACTAATATGTATTTTTTTTTTTTACCAGGAAGAAAAAGAGTCACTCAAAACTTCACCAGCCCAGCAGTTTCCAGGTGCCTCATCCCCTCCCTCAGGGAAGGCAACACCGAGAATTCGTCCAGGCTCTCCAGCCCCTTTCAGAAAAGGGCGTTTCTCCATCTCCCAGCTCCCCACACCACTCCCAATTGCAGAGGAGAAGGATGCTGGCACAGAAGACACAGATCCAGAGAAAAGTGGTGTCCAAGGGAAAACACCCAAATCTTCTCCTGCTGCCCAGGATGACAAARCCTCTGTGACAGTGGCACCTCCCAAGGCAGCCAGAAGTGCCCAGMTGGGATCAAAGGGCACTGCCAGGAAGAGCAGAGGTGGGGCTGTGGCTGTTATCAGTGCCAAGAGGAGAAGTGGTGCCTCCAGTGCCAATTTATTAGGTTGGTTTCAACATTTAATTTTTAATATTCATTTCTATGCTTTAATATACAGGAGTCAAACTGGAAAATGCCTATTTTGTTAGGCAGAGGCCACCACATGATTGGTGCATCTTCTAAATTTTGGCTTCATGGAAGTGCAAAGATGCATTTTCTGATTCAAAGAGCAATTTTATTAAACCATTTATAAACTCATTTAAACACAATRTTTGGAAGTTGAAAAATGGTAAAATTCACCYTCTCTTTGCAAGGTTAGAGACATGATCTCTAAAATCTGTCAAGTTCAAGTACTGTTGAACTAAACCATGTTTATCACATCAATTTTGTTTTGAAAAACTTAACACTTTATAGGAATGCAGCTTAACTTTGGTTATTTTGTGCCTTATTTTTATACAAAGCTCACAATTTTTGTCCAGGTACTGGGCTGCATTTAACTCCTTCAAGTAAGTGATGCACAACAGATGAAAATACAAAATAGGATCATAACTGGGTGTTACTTTCAAATCTTCAAAATTTTCAGTGTTGAGCACTGACTGGAAATTTTTGAAGGCATTGGAAATACAGTAATAAGGGGAGTTATAGTTCTTTAAGTTTTTACTTTTGAATAAACTTGTGTTTGCCACTGTTTTCATCAGTTAAATTCATTGGACAAAATCAAATTCCCCATTTACCAGGAATTTTTATTCCTATTATTCTCTCTGCTTTAGTGGCAGCAGAGCTGTTGAGCTCAGTGGCACTCCATTTCTCACCACCTCTTTGTAATGTGGTTTTTAATATCATTRCATCAGTTTTGTAACACAGAAAGAGCATCACAACTCTTAAAAAATTCGGATCCAAAATAAAACTTGGTTTCCAATTCTTTTTCAGATTTTCTGGATGCTTGGCATTTTTCTCTGCATCCTGCACACCCTGGCAATGTCAGCTTTTCAAWGTTCTTTTTATTTACACACTGATACAGCAATTCTGACAAGAGAATAAGAACATCCTTTTCTTTAGGAGCAGCATTCCTCTTTTTATCTCTACTTTAAAAAATCATTTCTTCTCTATGATCCCTGTGTTCTGATAGCTTTTTTTTTCTGAAGTAAACAAAGCAAGTGTCCTACAACTTCCCACTTCTCTTATTACCCAGCTGTAATTCCCTGCTCCCACTGCTATGCACAGAATGATGCTGTCATAAAGGTGACCTTGCTTTGGGAATTTTGGGAGTATGTCACAAGGAGAAAGTGATACAAGAAAAACTAAGGGAACTCTGTGTAGAACTAAATGCTRTAAGTAGGATAAATAGTTTCCTGGCTGAAATTCTTCAGGAAGTGGTGAAAGAAGCTTCACTTAGAAACAATTTCTCTTCTCACCAGAGGAAAACTCATCTATAATGACAAAGGCTGAAAGGCTCATGGCAGGTTTCTATTGGGAAAAATTAATTCCTTGCAAAAGAGTGAGGAAGAAATTGGGTTGGTGTTAATTGTARGATCTGACCTGTGTGAAGCTCATTGTTTTGGTATGGAAAACCATACTGGGRACTTGGACTCTTCTTCAATTGAAATTGAGTTTTCAAATTAAAAAACTTTTCAGAGAATACTTTAGGTGTTGTCAGGTAATACAACACGTTCCTCTACCAGGCTGCAGAAAATCCACTGGAATCATAAAGAAGTCATTGTGAACTTCATTTACACAGCTGAAAGTTAAAGCGGCTCTTTCTCATTTGCTTCTAGTTGCAAAATCTTGGGCAGAYGTGGTAAAATTGGGAGTTGCAAGACCACAATCAAAGACTGCTAGAAAAAGTGTTCGAAAAGGAAGAGCCCTGAAGAGGCTGAGACACCCACCAAAGGTATCCTTTTCTTTTTTGTCTTTCTTTGTTTGATTTTCTTACATGACCACCAAACAATTTTGGTGAATTTTGATTCAGAAGCTGGAAGCTTCTGAGCTCTGATATGCTGTAAAAATGTGTGTTGGTGTCTCTCACAGCACGTGAGAAATGCAGGTTTGTATAAAAGGAATCAAAGAATTATTAAAGTTGGAAAAGACCTCCAAGATCATGGAATCTGACCTCTGATCATAAAAATCAGATTGGTCAGGTAGGACCTGCCTTTCCTAAACTCAGGCTGGCTGAGCCTTCCAACCCTTCTTKGCACTGGATGTGCTTCAGTCTTCTGGAACCTCCCAGTTAAGCAGGAGTGATGATGAGCAATGGGAAGAAGCTTGACCACCTCTTCCACCATGAATCTTAGTTTAATAACTCTTATTTTAATTTTTCCTTTATGTCTGCAGACTCCAGAGAAGAAAATAAAAGATCACTTCAGCACAGGTCATGCAGAGTCCCCTGCTACCATAGTTGTAGGCAGAGCTTATTCCACCACAGTCAGATCTGCTGGACACGTGCCTAAAGTGGTAAAAAATCCCATCCTGAAGCTCAACATGGATATGGATGAAAGCTTCACAGGTGAGATTTTAAAACCTGCCACTCCCTCTGCCAGCTGTGCAGTTCTTGTGTCAAAACACGTGCTCATTTCTGYAAAAACCATTTCTAGGAGTGCCTGAAATGTTTCAAACTCCAAAAAGCCAGGATGGAAGAACATTACCTTTGGCCAWTACTCAGAATGCTGAGTTCACACCACCGGGTGCTGCGGGGGACTTTTCGGACTTGCAGACTCCTGAGGAATCTGGTAGGTTTGGTATTTGAAAAGGGGAAAGTTTAGGTATATTATGGGGTAGCAGCAGTGTCAGCCTAGGCAGACTTAGCTGAGGTGAGGCATCCAGCAACCCATGAAAGGAGCCTTTTATATTTATCAGGTATTAAAATGTTGTCGTTCCAGTTAATTTCTGTATAGGGTATTTCATTTTACTTAATGTGAAACTTAAAACTACTTTAGAGTTTTTTCAGATACTGAATGCACATGTTTGGGTTTTGATTTCTAGAAGGCTCTATTTGAATATTATTTTTCTAAAATTATACAACAATTAAAACTCTTAGATTTTCTGCTTAGTTTATTTTCCAAATGACATAAATTTACTGCTTATTTCAGGAGAGATGATGGTGTCACCATTAAATAATTCAGATGCTTCAGAGCAGAAACAAGAGAGTCCAGGCRTGTTCCACTTACTGAGAGAGCAGTCCTCTCCATCTATGTTTGATGAAATAGCCACAAAAACTCCTGAGGAACAAAAAGCTGGGCATGAACATAATGTGGATTGTTCGGCAATAATTCCAGAAAAAACAGCATCTCTGGTGAAATCAGGAAGTAAAAGGAGAACTCCAAAGCAGAACTTGGAACCGGTTGAGGTCCTATCAGGCAAAAGGAAGATTTTAAGGACCCCTGAGCAAAGGTCAGAACCAGGAGAGGTTTTGTCAGGCATTAAGAGGCTCATGAAGACCCCAAGGAATAAGCCTGAGCCCACAGAGGCTTTGTCAGGCATCAAAGAGCTCATGAAGACCCCAAATCAGAAATTGGCACCTGCAGAGGTTTTGTCAGGCATAAAACAGCTCTTAATGACTCCGAATCAGAAATTGGAGCCTGAAGAGATTTTGTCAGGGATCAAACAGCTCTTGAAGACCCCAAATCAGAAACCTGAGCCTGTAGAGGCTTTGTCAGGGATTAAACAGCTCATGAAGACTCCAAAGCAGAAAACAAAGCCTGTAGAGGCTTTGTCAGGAGTCAAGCAGCTTTTGAAGACCCCAAATCAGAAACCTGAGCCTGCAGAGGTTTTGTCAGGGATCAAACAGCTCATGAGGACCCCAAAGCAGAGGCCAGAACCAGTGGAGGACCTGTCYGGCATTAAGGAACTCATGAAGACCCCGAAGCAGAAATCAAAGCCTGCAGAGGCWTTGTCAGGGATCAAACAGCTCATGAGGACCCCACGGCGGAGGGCAGAACCAGTGGAGGATCTGTCTGGCATTAAGGAACTCATGAAGACCCCGAAGCAGAAATCAAAGCCTGCAGAGGCTTTGTCAGGGATCAAACAGCTCATGAGGACCCCACGGCGGAGGGCAGAACCAGTGGAGGACCTGTCTGGCATTAAGGAACTCATGAAGAGCCCACAGCAAGAGCAGGAACCAGTTCTAGATGAAATTGCCTTGAAAAGGTTGCTGGAGACCCCAGAACAGAGCAGGGAAGCAGTAAAAGCTGTGGCAGGTGTGACTGCAGCCAAGAAAAGCCCGAAGCTGAAATACCAACCCGTGGAGGACATGGTTGGGATCAGCCGCATTTTCCAGACTCCAAAGGAGAAAGTTCAGCCCATAGAAAACATGTTTGGCATCAGCAGATTAATGAAGTCTCCAAAAGAGAAATATCAGCCGGTTGAGGATTTTGTGGGGGTGCAAAGGCTCCTGGCAGAACCAAGACAGAAATCTGATTCTGAAGTGGACTATGCTGGAGTGAAAGAAATGTTCGGTACCCCAGAGGAAATGAAGGTAAAATACTTGAATTTTTATAAGGATATTTTTATATTTTGAAGCTTGTGGTTGAAATGAATTTGCACTTCCTAGTATGACAACTTAGAATATTTTATAGAGATTACATTTGCCTGTGTCATGGTTTGAACCCTGGCTGAAGGCTAAGGCACCACAACGCTTCCCCATCCCCAGGAGARGCAGAGGGGMSAGCAAARCCCTAATTAGCACWAAGATTTATGGATTTTAGGTAAGATAAGGAATTGAAAGGAAGATTTTGCACTTCGTGATTGTCAAAGTAGGCTGGAACTTAAGTTGCTTAGAACTACAGTAAAACACTTCATTGAATTTCCCTTCAATACCCCAAATTCCCTTTGAGCACTTATTTAGGAACTTCTCAACCGCTCCAGCGTTGTCTTTCACTTTAGATTATAAGAATTAAGTTTGTTCCATTTGTGTGCTTATATCAGATAAATGGATGTAGTTAAGACTACTTGATTTCATTTCTAGAGAAAAGGATTTGACAAGAATTTTGATAAATACTGCTGTACATTAATTTTGTATTGGTTGGCTCCACAAGTTCATTTATTGGTTATTTTTTATACCCTTAGGTCAGCTCAGTAAATGTTACGGATTCTCAGGAACAAAATGCACCTCCTGRTTCTAATTCCAGTCGTAAATATGGTAAGTACAAATACTTGGCTTAGAGGAATCATGACTGTACAAAGTCATAAATGTTACCATGAAGTTCAAATCTAGTTTAAAGCTCTCTCAGTGAGCCCCAGCAATTTCTTGACCTAAGATCCTTTTTTCCCTTTGGCCTCTCAAATAAACCAAACAACTTCAACCAGAAGCCTGGCCTTTAATCTAGGAATTGGTGAAATATTTATTTTATTACTTATTTGAGTAAGATGCCTCTGTTAGGAAAATGGAAACTCACAGGTATTTTCATCAGGCATAGTAATGTCTAATTTTTGTTTGTGCTCTTTACCCTGGTATAGGAAATAAAGGAAAAGTTTCCCAAGGTGAAGATTCTCAAYCGAAGGACTCAACTGGTGGAGAGCAGCCTACCCAGAGACCAAGAAGGGGCAGACCAAGGAGAGCTGTATCTCCTGCTGCAACAAAGCCAAGTGACAATGATGTGAATTTAAAGGAATTGCAGAGTCCTGGCATCCAAGAGGAGATAGGAGTGGTCACATCTGAAAACAAAGGAAGAGGAAGGAGGACAAAGCGCTGTGTACAAGAAGTTGTTTCAAAGCACCCTGATCAGGAAGGACTTGAAAGTGTCTCATCTGTGGAACAACCTGGAGCTACTCAGAGACCAGGAAGAGGTAGAAGGAGAGAACTGAAGGAGTTAAAACAKCCCAATGAAAATGCTGAGTCTTGTGCTGAAGATTCTTCAGTGCTCCAAAAAGCACCTGCAAATACCAACCAGAGTCTGCAGGACTGTGGCATCAGTGATGTGTTAGAAACTGAGGGTGATCCAGCCACAAARACAGGATCTAAAAACATTCAAGATGAAAATGGTCAGCTGCAAACAGGTTCAAATCAAGCTGACAGCAAAGCTCATGACAGCGGGATAGAAGATGGTGAAGAAGGGCTCCTGTCACCGAGGAGGAGACGCAGAGGAGTGGAGAACCCYGAAGCAGTGATTCCTCCTAAAAGGGGGAGAAGAGCTCGGAATGACCAAGCTAAAGCTGCTTCTCCAGGAGATCCTCGTGGAACARCCAGAAAGCTTCGTAAAGACCCATCCCCAAAAGTTACACAAAGAGATGGACAGACTTGTGACAAAGCTCCTGAGGCTGTCACAGCACAAGAATCTGAAAACGGCGTGGAACTTGAACTAAAGGCAACAGAGAGAAGAGTTAAGTCTTTTAGAAGTACCAGAAACRGAAAGCACTCAGCTGAAATCAAAGCAGACGCTTGTGGGGTCGCACTTGAAAATACACAAAATGTTCAGAAGARTGAGGAAACATCGTCTGAGACTGCTGAAACACAATCCCACGTGAAAAATGAGATGAAAGGATCTCAGGGATGTGMAACAGAAAATGCTCAGGAAATTACAACAGAGGCAGCTCGAAGATTAAAGGCAGAGTCACCTTCTGCAGAGACAAACAAAATGCCAGTCAGTGCTCGGAACTTGGAAGCAAACAGGGCTAGAAACAGGAGAGGCAAAAAAGACACTTTGGAGCAAAAAGGAGTTGAATTTACTGAAGATGTGAACAGCCTAAAATCAATTACTCCCAAATTTAAGTCAGAAACAGAAGAGGGTGAATCTTCTCTCCAGAGTTCCCTGGGCTCTGTTGGTGTCAGTGCAGCCCAAGATAGGAAAGATCAGCCCAGCTCAGCTGCCCCTGCAGTCCCTGCCTCAGCCAGTGCCAATCCTGCTCAGGGCTGTCAGAGCAGGACSAGAAACAAACAGGGAATTCTTAAAGCACCACGAACTGAAATCCTRCAGGAGAACCCAGCACAAGGAAATGCAACGAGCTCTAGAAGGGGAAGAGGTAATAAAGTTAATTTTCAACTTGAAGAAGGCAGTTCCAAAGTTATTGAAGGTAAAAGGAGTTTACCTGGGGAGCATGAAGGGATGGCTGATGAAGTTAATCAACGTGAGAATTCTGAAAATGCTCCTTCACAAGTCAGAAGAGGCAGGAGAAAGCAATGTGATTCCATCCCACAAACAGCTACTCCTGCCTTTACGGAAAAACAAACATCAAGTGCAGATCACAAGGAAGGTGAGGCTGTTGTACAAGAGCAGGAATCAGCTTTGGAAACTGCTCCCTCTTCAACAGAGGACAATCCACCAAGACGGGGCAGGAGACGCGAGGTGGCTGCAGCATCACACACATCCAGATCTCCTTCTGTCAGAACCAGGCGTGGGGTGCTGCAAGAGGAGGATAAAAAGGTGGCTGAGAGAGAAGATGAAAATCCAGCTCTGGGAAATAAAACTTKGCAGGCAAAAGCGAATGCATCAGCAAGGGGCAGGAGGAAAACGATTGATCCAGCAGCAGAGGCAAAAAGTTCAGCTCCTCTCCAGAGAAAACGTGGCTTGTTGGAGAGTGAGGCTAAAGATGAGGGTGCTCCTGAAGAGCAAAGTGTACCTTTGGAAGCAAAGGAGAAGCCACCAGCAAGGGGCAGAAGGAAAGAAACTGCTCTGGCATCACACACAACAAATTCCAGCTCTCTTCGAGGGAAACGCAGTTTGCCAGCAGGTAATGGTGGAGAAGAAGCTCCCAAAGAAGAGCAAAATGTTCTCTTAGAAAYTTGTGATCCATCTGGAAAAGAAAATCAGCTGAGAAGAGGCAGGAGGAAAGAAATTGTTCCCTTGACAGAAACCAAAAGTTCTGTTCAGGGCAAACAGGGCCCGTCAAAACAAAGCAGTAGGAAAAATAATAGGAAAGAAAACCAGAGTTTGGATAATTCTCCTTCCCAGGAAAACAAGGATCTTTCAGAAGGSAATTCGAGGCAAGCAAGCACTTCACGGGCTCTTAATCCCACCTCACCTCAAGGTTTGCCAGGAGATGGGAAGGATGGAATTCCTGAAGAGCAACAGAGTAACCTTTTGGAAGTRGCTCAACCTGCAAGAGAAAATCCATCGAGAGCAGGCAGGAAGAGAGCAACTTCTTCCACACGGGAAGAAACKATTTCCACTTCTCTCAGGGGAAAACCTGACCTGCCCAGAGGCAGAGGGCAAAAAAGGATTCTTAAAGAACGTGAAGATACATCTCCAGAACATAACCCATGCCGGGGGAGAACAAGACAACTGAGGAATAATAAAAGGAAGGTGGGATTGACATTGGAGGCAGCTCCTTCTCTCTGTAAAATCACTGACTTGCCAGAAAATGGCAACGCTCAGGAAACTCAGGATTTGTGTGGGAAATCCTCTGGCTCTGAAGAGAATCAGCCTGGAAAAGGCCACGAGGGTGACCCTGCTCCACAGGCAGCCTCCACTTCTCGCCGAAGGAAATGCCAGCTGCCAGCAGAGGACGTGGCACCCAAAAGATTCAAATCAGGTGAGACAGTGATTGATTTTTCTCTTTCCTGAGGTTGTCTGAATTGTGTGTAGATACAACAGTAATTGTACAGAACTGTAGAYCATAGAACCAGGACCATTTAGGGTGGAAAAGATCCAAGATCCCACCTCCCTCAGCAGCTCCTGGTGCTTCTGCTCTTTCCCCAGCTCCATTCCCTTCTCTGGCTGCAGCTCTGGAGGTGCCTCCCCAGTGCCCAGTACAGGGGACAATCACTGCCCTGGTTCTGCTCTCACCTAAAATATTCCCTGGAATTTACAGCTTAACTTAAAAATTCCCAATTAGAAAATATTATCAAATCAGTGCATTGAAGTAAAAGTGACAGCAACTCTTTAGAACTACACAGTGAGGAATTTCCTGCCATAAAACTTCCTCTGTTTTCATTTTTGCAGCACTTTGGTGTCGGTTCAGTTTTAGTTTCCCATATCAGTGGAAGGAATTTTAGCTAAAAGGGGAGCTAATTGGTTTTGGTGCTCTCATTAATGTTAACCTACTTTCAGAAATAGCTGTAAATCCTCAGGGATCCAACTTTAAGGATATTGGATGTGCACAAGTGTGGGGTTGGTATCTGGTTTGTTGAATTCATAGATATAATCTTTGGAATGTTGTCATTGGGGACGTTTCCTTTCAAAACAACRGAGGTGAAGATGGAATTTTGTGGGAAATGTTTGATTGGTGATACAAATTGACATTTTTCCATGTGCAAATAGGGAACGATGAAAATGGGTCTCTACAAAAAGGAAGAAGGAACAAAACTAAAGAACTTGGAGAAGAGGATGCAAGGGCAGCTCAGACCACTGGAGGGATGGGCAGGAGGACAAGATCCAGCACCAGAACAAGGAAATAACCTTAAGAGTCCCAGAACCAGGTTTAAATCAATTCAGTAATTCCAATTATGGGATTTTTTTTATGTGAATTGATTTGCACTCAGATTTTAAGTTCAGATTTTTGATAATTCTATGGTTTCTTTATAAAATATATTTCTTACGGTGTTTATAGATAGAGGGTAGATATTTTTTTAGTGGCTTTGTCTGCGTATGATGGTTCCTAAACCATAGGGTGCTAGTGCAAAGCTACAAACAAAATAATTTTTTTATACCAGTGTTTATCCCCCTTTTCCTGTTGATCAGTACAGCAATCAGGAAGCCATATTACTGCCAGCTGAAGCTCTTTTCTGAAATTTTCATATGCTTAAGTTTTATTTTCCATTGGAATTCTGTAAATATTCTTTTAAAAAAAAGATATAGTTGTATTAGCAGATCTGCAACGCTAAATTTTTGATAATTTCTTTTTTTAAAAAATGACATTTGTATTCAAAACTTCGGATTTGTAAGTCATTAAACTTGTGAACAATTTGGGACTTGTGTGCCTTTTTTCTGTTTTAAGAAATGTTAAGAATGTAATTGCTGCTGTCTAATGGGTTCATTTCTAAGGTTCATCTTCTCTGGTTGATGTGGAAATGCCATTTTTAGGACCTTTAACAGGTAATTTCTCTCCAAGGCTTCTTAAATGCAGAAACAGAGAAAATTCAGCCTGGGCATTGAACTTCCGTGCAGTTTTTAGACCTGACTTCAAATCCTGTGTGCGTGTGTGTGGTGTATGAGGAGCTTGGGATTTCTGCAGCAGAGCAGATGGAATTGGGGTTGTTGAGGGTGGAAAAGATCCCTTGGATCAACTCCAGCCATCCCTGTGCCACATCCACAGCTTTGGAGCCCTTCAGGGATGGATCAACTCCAGCCATTCCTCAGTGGAGTCCTGCAGGGATGGGCCTCACCCCTGCCCTGAGCAGCCCTTTCCAATGCTTTACAGCCCTTTCCATGKAGAAATTTTCCCTAAAATCCAATCTGCCCCTCCCTGTCCCATCCTGGGGCCGTTCCCTCTCCTCCTGTCCCTGTTCCCTGGAGCAGAGCCCGACCCCCCCGGCTGTCCCCTCCTGTCAGGGAGTTGTGCAGAGCCACAAGGTCCCCCCGGAGCCTCCTTTGCTCCAGGCTGAGCCCCTTTCCAGCTCCCTCAGCCTCTCCTGGGGCTCCAGACCCTTCCCAGCTCCGTTCCCTGCCCTGGACACCTCCAGCCCCTCCAGGTCACTGTGAGAGGTCCCACTTGGATGCTGTGTTTGGATCTTCTTTTCCGCTCCTCTTTTTAGGATCACTCAATCTCATTCCTGCTCTTTAGGTGAGTTCATATTTGTGAAGTCTGTTCAAAATCCAAAACAGATTAAGGAATGCATTGGATAAGGTTCAGACTTCAAACCTCAGATACGATACAATATTAAGAATTTTATTTTTTTGAAAATTTGGGTTAGATTTTTTACTTGTTTGGTTTTTTTTATGTAGCATATGCTGTACCCATATCTACAGGGGGGTTTTGGCAGATTATAATACACTTTAAAAAAAAAAATCTGAACTCTAATGTGTAGATTCCAGTCTGCATCCAGAGTTGCTCCATCCCAGGTGCAGAATCCGGTAATTTCCCTTGAATGTCACGTGGTTGATATGAAAAATGGAATATGTTTTCTTTTTAGTTGGGTTTTCTGTGGTTTTTTTGGGTTTTTTTGGTTGGGTTTTTTTAAACTCTGTTTCCCAATCATGACATTCCTAAAACTTTAGCCCTGAAATCTCAGAGCAAAGCAAATTTTACCATCCCACCTAAAACCAAAACAGTCTCCTCTGCACAAGCAGCTAGGCCAATGCCATGGTTGGGAARTTAAAGGATCCACAGGAGTATTTTTCTGTGTCTAATAAGTGGTTTGGATTTTTTAACTCTACTCTGATGTTTCACTTTTGGGTCTGGTCCTCATTCAAATCTGACAGAAGCTCACATTAAAGGACTGAATTCTCCTCCAGAGCTGGTGTTTCTGTCCTCCCACCCAAAACCATCCTTCAGGAATTATCTGCTTCTCTCATTCCCGCTTTCCCAGGCTGTCCTGCTGGATCTGAGAAGGAATCCTGGGCACAGCCTTTTCTCAGGTAGGCAGCAGAGTCTGTCCTTGAGGAGTMAATCCCATTGCTTTTGTAGGAACTGGGCAGATTCCCAAAGTTGGATCCCAGTTTTTGTCATGCCAGGAGCACACACGGTCTGTGAAGATCTGTGGAAATCCAGATTTGTTCCATGAGGAGATGGACAAGGCAGGATGGGAATTCCCAAGGTAAAGAAGATTCATGGATTCCCCCTGTAAGTGATGCTATCGTGCCATTTTTGGGAATGTTCTACAGCCAACCAGGGCAAACAGCAGGAGTTCAAGGTATGTGGCTGATGGATTGTATTGTGGGGACACTGCAGCCACCCAGACCATGGCTTTGCTCAATATCCTGGACGTTTCCACAGAGATTCATTTAATGCTCTTTTGTGGAACTGATATTTAACATAAATTCGTGCTGATTCCGATTTTATAAAGTTGTGTTTTTTGGGGAGTCACACATCCTCTCAGAAAATTTGAAACTGCAAATCTACCCCAAGGCAGATAATTCTGAGGGAGAGCTGAGCCAAATCTTTTACCTGAGGTATCAGCAAAGAAACAATTCTCTTTCCTCTGGAAAATTTATTCCCAGAAAATGTTCAAATTGTCTTCTCTGTGATTTCTGTAGTGTTGCATCTTCGTTGTTGGTTGTGTGGCAGCACAAATTAGAAAAAAATAAGAAAATATGGTAGGAAAAGTTCATTGATAAATTTTTTGAATTGTTAATCTTTGATTTTTCATCTGGGCAAATGGCTTTCTTTAGGGAAAGAAACAAAATGGGATATAATGTGAGGAAGTAGAGTTTCCTCTTAGTTACCCTTGATTAAAATTGCATTTACAAGTTGCTATGTGTAGATATATCTGTATTTTTAAATCTATAAATTTATTTAAAAGATAATTTATCAAGTGATTTTGTRTGAGTAGTACAGAAGAAAAAAGTATTGTAAATGTTGTTTAAATAGAGCTACCTGTTGATGATATTTGATATCACAAACTCRTTYAGGTTGGAAAAGCCCTTTAAAACCATCGAGTCACCCCCAGCACTTCCAAGRCCRCCACTAAACCATGTCCCCAARTGCCCCATCCCCATGGCTTTTAAATCCCTGCTGAGTATTTTTTATTTAAGCAGGAGGATTATTTTCCCAGGGCTGTTGGTTTGAACGTTTCTTTGATGGTATTGTCACCCCTGAGCTGTCAGTTGTCACCGATCCCACAAGTAGAAGTTTATTTCAAAACTGAACTTCATATTAATATTATCTTTCAAATAGAACTATTATTCTAAAATATTTTAATATGAAATTAAGATAAAATACTTTAACATTTAATATTTAGCTTAAATTTTTTTCTTAAAATATAATTTCTTTCAAAGAGAATCATATTTTTTAGGATAAGACATTCCAAGTGCTGACATGGTAGAATGGAAATTCGAACTTTGTGCAGTTTGAGAGTTTTCCAGGCTGCTTTATGGAAAATTTTAAGGAAATCTAAATGGCAACTGTGTGGCACAGGAATGAGTTCCTGATCTCCTCTGCTCCTTCCAGAGGGAGCTGCATCTCCATCTGGATCTCCCATATTTTGTTATGCAATTCTGGGGGAGGTGTTTTAAATGTCAAAGTTTGGGAATGCTGGGGAAGTACCAGGTTTCACTGCTCTCAAGAAAGTCAAACATATTTTTCTAAAAATCAGCTCATTAGAGCTGTAAATTAGGTGAGACCAGACTCTTCTCAACCACCCACGAACACTTCCCCTGTAAATCTTGGTAGCAGAGCCCTCTGCCATAAATCCCTGTTTTTCTGGGAGGGAAGATATCCCACCAGCTGACCAAATCTGCACCGTGAACTTTGGGATTCACACTTTGCATATGTTCGTGAAACTCTCAGTGACCTAATTTTAAATCACGGGAAAGGAGAAGCCCCTCCAGGAGGGTCAGGCAGAGCAGAAATCATCCACGAGGCAAGCGAAGGGCCAAATTCATTTTAATTGAACCCACTGAGAGCATCTCTGCAGCCAAAGCCTGGAACGAAGTTTAAAACTAAAGCTGGGACTTTGAGGGGCTGGACCAGATGAAATCCCACCAGCTTTTCTATTTTGAAGCTGAATCTCACCAACTGACCAAAATGTAGCTCGTTATAAATATGTAAATCAGGCCTGGAGTTCCTTTTGGGGTGGGGRCATTACTTTGGAGCCCTCCTGTTGAAATGTGTGATTAATCCCAGYGAAGTCAAACCCACCAATTAACACYGSTTAATTTTTCTAATTTCTCCTCTTTTCCATGCTTTCCTCCTTTGTCTCATTGTTCATTAGCACCCAGTGCCAATTAGGGAGCGCTAATTTGATCRTCGGGAGGGTTGGCTCCCACGATCTGCTGAGTCAGCGGAGACGCGGCTGCTCCTCCAGGGCACGAGCTCCTGTTCTCTTTCCCCCTCTGGAGAAAGCTCCTGCTTCCCGTTAACTTGAGGGAAAACCTCAATCCCTGGGTGAGGGATGGCCCTACCCAGCCGTGTTCTCGTTTTCACAAAGGGAATCCCAGGCTGGGGAGTTCCAGGAGAGGTGGAACCATGGACACCACCACCACCAACCCCACCCCATCACCCCACAGCGCCTTTCCCAGCTTGTTCACAGCTTTCCCAGTCTGTGTCCATGGCTGCACTGGTCAATAGGATCAGGATTGTCCACAGGCACAGCAGCTGCCCCTTGGAAAAGCTCTGTGTTCCCTCAGGACACCACCGACCTTCCCAACGCATCACGGAGGAACAGGGGTGATGAACTTTTCCAGGATGGTGTTGGATGTGGTACCTATTTCATGGGATTTTGGGAATTCTGGAACCATTTAGGTTGGAAAGACCTTTGAGTCCAACCACAAAAGCTATTCCCCAGAGCTGCTCATCGCTGTAATTAGAACTGTCCACTCTGAGGACTAAACTCAACCCTAAAGAGAAACAACCCCTTTCCTTTGCAYGCTGTCGCTCCCCTTTGATGCCAACTTTTCAAATTCCAACTTTTTCCAAATTCCCTTTTAGGATCTCAGAACAACCCCTGGCTCGGGAGGAAGGACTCACCATCCTGTGAAATGAGGTGAATCCCAGAAGGTTTGGGAGAGCCCACCCTGACCAGTAACTCAGTGGGAAGAGAGCGGCCAGTGAGTACATTTAATACCTTTGCTTATTTAAAATTGCTKTGGCATTTCAGTGATGATCTCCCTGTGCTTTCTGCTGGAAAAAATCACYGTGGAGTTTTTATTTTTGGTGGGGTACCCACTCGGGCAGCCCAGGTGTATTGCTGACTGATCCCAAATTATTAACYTTAATACAATTTTTAAACAATTATTCGGCTAATCGGATGCAAATGAAACAAAATGAACCTATAAATATATGTGTTTTTCAAATTAGTAATTGGATT